TGGTCGTTTTTTTCGACTAAAAACGCCTTACTATACATGGTCGTTTTTTTCGACTAAAAACGCCTTACTATACATGGTCGTTTTTTTCGACTAAAAACGCCTTACTATACATGGTCGTTTTTTTCGACTAAAAACGCCTTACTATACATGGTCGTTTTTTTCGACTAAAAACGCCTTACTATACATGGTCGTTTTTTTCGACTAAAAACGCCTTACTATACATGGTCGTTTTTTTCGACTAAAAACGCCTTACTATACATGGTCGTTTTTTTCGACTAAAAACGCCTTACTATACATGGTCGTTTTTTTCGACTAAAAACGCCTTACTATACATGGTCGTTTTTTTCGACTAAAAACGCCTTACTATACATGGTCGTTTTTTTCGACTAAAAACGCCTTACTATACATGGTCGTTTTTTTCGACTAAAAACGCCTTACTATACATGGTCGTTTTTTTCGACTAAAAACGCCTTACTATACATGGTCGTTTTTTTCGACTAAAAACGCCTTACTATACATGGTCGTTTTTTTCGACTAAAAACGCCTTACTATACATGGTCGTTTTTTTCGACTAAAAACGCCTTACTATACATGGTCGTTTTTTTCGACTAAAAACGCCTTACTATACATGGTCGTTTTTTTCGACTAAAAACGCCTTACTATACATGGTCGTTTTTTTCGACTAAAAACGCCTTACTATACATGGTCGTTTTTTTCGACTAAAAACGCCTTGCTATACATGGATGTTTTTGGGCTGTAAAAACGCCTGACTATACATGGTGGGTTTTTTCGGTATAAAAAACGCCTTCCGATACATATTATGTTTTTTTCAGCTAGAATTGCCTTTATTTTTAAAATATCAATAGACATTTTGCTCGAACATTGGCCTTCAGAGAAGTATATCAGAGAACTATACTGAGGTTCCCTTAGGTGCCCGTGGCCAAATGGTTTGTGCGTCGGCTTCACAGCACAGAGGTACAGAATTCAAATCCGGCTCTGGTTCTACTGTGTGGCAACTGCATCGGGGTTCTCCAGGAACTCCAGTTTCCTCCCACACCCCAAAAAACATGCCAAGCAGGTCAATAGAACACTTTAATATTTTCAGAATCTGACACACCACCATAAAATGCTTTCTCGTAGAGTCGCAACAAGTTCATTGGGAAGAAGGCACCCCGGTGGCCAACTGGTTAGTGTGTTGGTTTCCCAGCGCAGAGGTGTGCGGTTCAAATCCAGCTCCAGCCTTCACATGTGTCACTTTCATGTTTAGATGGTGACTTGAATATGATGACACATTTTCCTCATTGCAACGTTGGCCTTTAGAGAAGTATATCATAGAACTATGCACATAGGTACCTGTGGCCTAATGGTTAATGCGTCGGCTTCCCAGCCCAGAGGTGCAGGGTTCAGTCCCGGCTCTGGCTCTTGAGGAACTGCAGTTTTCTCCCACACCCCAAAAGCTTGCGCAACAGGTGAACATAACACTTGAATATTTTCACAATCTGACAAATCACCATCTCGTGCATTCTGGTAGAGTCGTAAAAAAGTCGTTGAGACGAAGTCAGCCTAGTAGCCAACTGGTTCGTGCGTCAGCTTCCCAGCACAGAGGTTCAGGGTGCGCGTCCAGCTCCGTCCTGCGTGTGTGGCATTTGCATGTTCAGATGGTTCTGTGATTATCAATACACATTTTGAGAAGGTTTTAAAAAAAAAAAAAGAAAAACCTGAGTACACATGCTCATCTTTTTTCCCCTAAAAACGCCTGAATATACATGGTCGTTTTTTTTCGGCTAAAAACACCTTACTATACATGGTCGTTTTTTCGGCTAAAAACGCCTTACTATACATGGTCGTTTTTTCGGCTAAAAACGCCTTACTATACATGGTCGTTTTTTCGGCTAAAAACGCCTTACTATACATGGTCGTTTTTTCGGCTAAAAACGCCTTACTATACATGGTCGTTTTTTCGGCTAAAAACGCCTTACTATACATGGTCGTTTTTTCGGCTAAAAACGCCTTACTATACATGGTCGTTTTTTCGGCTAAAAACGCCTTACTATACATGGTCGTTTTTTCGGCTAAAAACGCCTTACTATACATGGTCGTTTTTTCGGCTAAAAACGCCTTACTATACATGGTCGTTTTTTCGGCTAAAAACGCCTTACTATACATGGTCGTTTTTTCGGCTAAAAACGCCTTACTATACATGGTCGTTTTTTCGGCTAAAAACGCCTTACTATACATGGTCGTTTTTTCGGCTAAAAACGCCTTACTATACATGGTCGTTTTTTCGGCTAAAAACGCCTTACTATACATGGTCGTTTTTTCGGCTAAAAACGCCTTACTATACATGGTCGTTTTTTCGGCTAAAAACGCCTTACTATACATGGTCGTTTTTTCGGCTAAAAACGCCTTACTATACATGGTCGTTTTTTTGCGCTAAAAACGCCTTCCTATACATAGTCGTTTTTTTTCGGCTAAAAACGCCTTACTATCCATGGTCGTTTTTTTCAACTAAAAGCGCCTTACTATACATGGTCGGTTCTTTTCGGCTGAAAACGCCTTACTATACATGGTAATTTTTTTCGGAAGCAGAAGTTTAAGATGAGTGAGAGACGGACAGGCGGGCACACTCACCTCCACCTTGTGGTGCAACGTGACATCAGACATCAGCTCTTCAAGCACACCACACAGCTCAGTACTCACGCGTGTCCAAATGCTGGTTGGCGTCCCTTCCGCATGTCCTCCGAGTCTGGCGGCTGCGCCTTTGGCCCAGTCATCTGACTAATCTGGTCAGGCAGAAAAACAAAACAAAATGCGAAAGTCACACTGTAGACCATCAAAAAAGTTTTTTTCTTTTTTTTCTTTTTAATTTGAGTCATTATTCGTAAAGTGGCAGACTTTTACTTTCAACCCGTCCATTTCCAAACGTGCCCGCACTCGCAATGCATCTGTTTGAGCGACCGCTCGCGGCTCTCTCCCCACACCTCAAGTACAATGAGCAATCTCCTTTCGAAAAACAAATACACAAAGTCACGGGTGCATTTGTGGGAATAGTTTTGAAACAAATAAGGCAAGGAGTAGCTTATGATTGTTAAAATAAAGCAAGGAGTAGCTTATGTTGGTTTTGTTCACTGCTGCTGTTGCAGTTAATACTCACTATTTTTGTTGTGATGCAGCATGTTTGATTGTTGTTGGTTGAAGTTTAATTTTCTTGCTTGTTTATTGTTTGGAGCCTTTTTAATGTTCAATAAAATAAGTAAAAAGCCATTTCTTTGCTTGATAATTGTTGCTATTTGCAGTCAGTAGAGTGCAATATTTAGTTCACTAAGTCATTTATCAAAATGTATGCTAAATTTGTCATAAATATTTAAAAGAAAAGCTCAAGTTAAAAGAGCCGTTTGTGAGCCAAAAAGATCCGGCTTCTTTCACTGAGCCGATCCAAATGAACCGGATCACCGAAAAGAGCCGAAAATCCCATCACGATTGCTCACCTGCCTCCGATTGACCGGGAAGCCTGACGTCACGTCGGTCAAGACCACTTTCCGTCTTTTTCTGCTTGCACATTAACAAAACAAAAAAATAATTATGCCCGGGCGGAAATATTTTTCTTCAGATGTGTCGTTTGCGGCTGTGGGACTTCGGTAGAGGTGGCGTATTTTACAACATTGGCGCAACGCTGGCGCTATCTTGTGGTCAGTATGAGAACTTTTGCATTGGACAATTTCCGGTATTTCAACACATTTTTGAGCAGTTTTGCCATTTATGTCTCGTACTTGGTATTTCATAAAAAATTAATGAGGCTGCTATTAGACTTTTACTTTATAGTTACAGAAAATTGAGAAAATCAAGATGGATTTCAATTTTGGGGTTTCTTTCATATTAAAACGAAAATCAAGCAACGAGTGGTTTTTTCTATTTTTTTAAAATGTTTCCAAACTTAATGTCGCTTACCAAAAGAGACGCCAATCCGTGTGTCATTCGTTCGTCAGCCACTGAAAAGCTAAGAACAGTTTATTTAAATGAAAGACACGCTTTACAATTATGAATTCTGTTTATCATGTCAAATTGCTAAAAATAAACTTTCAACTAGATCATATGCACGTGCTTTCTGTGAGACGGATGTAGAGACAAAGGAACACATTTTTTGAACATACTAAAACTCAAATGTTTTGGAAGTGTGTGCAAGACTGGACTTGCGGACAGTCCCACCAATATCAAGCGACATTGTAACATTTGGAACTTTTCTTCCCCACAAGAACATTTATAATTTGATTCTCTGTCTAGCCAATCACTCAGCCCCATTTTTAAGTTTCCCAATAGAATGAGATGTAAAAGCCCGAAGATGTATCCTTCCTTTCATAACTTGCTGCTGTGAATTGGGAATTTCTCCATTGCGAGACTAATAAAGGTTTTCTTATCTTAAGAGGAAAAGGTATGAAAGCATTTGTGGTCTACTGTCTACTCTTATCACAAGTGGATAACCTCGTACGTTTTTGTTCTTTTGAATTGGAAATGTTACTTAAAAGTGAACTCACTTGCAGCCCCCCCCCCCACCAAAAAAAAAGTCAAAACTTCACGATAATTGTTTAGTTTTATTTTGTGATTATCACGCTGTGGGTTATAAAAAAAAAATTAAAAAATGTATAAAAAGTCACCAAAAAAAAACAATGGGGGTGAGGGGAGCTTGTGTTTTTGTATCCAACAGCAGTAAATAAGGAGGCTTTTAATGTGTTCCCATTTGCTGTGCGAAGTATCACTGTCTATGTTCACAATGCTGGGTTTGGCTGAAGCAAGCAAAAAGTAATTTTTGACTGAGATGTGCCGCTTTTAATACATCCAGACGGTCTCATGGCAATTTTAATCATACCTTTGTGACCTCTCTGGTTAAAAGTACAACATTTTACAAACATGACATTGGCCATATTGTGTAAAACATTTTAAAACGGCATGTAGATCCTCCCCCCCCCCCCCAAAAAAAAAAAAAAAAAATTAAAAAAAGAGTGGTGGTGGGGGGGGGGGGGTTATTGCAGCTTCTACTGAGTCCTCTTGTCTCAAGTTTGTTCCTCAGCTTCTCCTGGACTGCAATCATCCTCCTCAGGTTCATCTTCCTCATCAGTTTCAGCTTCTTCCTCCTTTGCCACATCATGTTCATCATCTTCATCTTCATTCAGTGCAAGACCCTTGATTTCTTCCAGGTTGTTTGGTCCCTTCCCAGTCAGCCTCTGATAGAAACACGAGCAGCTTTTGCTGTGACTCAACCATGCAATTATATCGTGAATATATTATTGCCGAGCGTAGCGTGTGAGGTGCATACCTCAATCATGTCAGCCATGTACTGTACGTGGTCGGCCAGCTCGCGCAGTTCGTCGTTCTCGCTCTTCAGTCGAGTGATCTGCTCGTTTTTGGCCTCGATATCTTTGTGCAGCTGGTTAGTTTTCAAAATGTTTCATTAAAAAAAAATGTAGAAGGCAAAGGACAAGTTGAGGTTGATGCGAGTGTGAGGAAAGATCAAAAAATAATTATCTGTCAAAGTGTCATTTCAGAGCTTGCGTTTTCAACTTTTTTCCGGAAATTTAAATGAAATGCTGTCGTAATCAAACTCTGAAACAAAAATACAAGTAAGACAAGTTTAGATGCATTTTTACACCACAAATTTATGTGTCACCAATAATTTCTCTTTTTAAAGTTGTTATAGTCCTAAGTGGGAGGGGAATACAAGCGCCAAATGATTGCAAAAAAAAAAGTGAATCAAAAGGTGAAATGAGCATCAGAAGGCTGCAAAGCTACACACGAGCACCTCAGCGTTTTAAACTCACTTTCTCATTCTCCTGGAGAACATTGAACAAAGCCTTGCGACGCTCTTCTGCCACTTCTTTCCAGTAAGCAGGAGGAGGAGTTTCTACACAAAACAAACAAAAAATTTGTTTGCTTCAGAATTACTGGGAAAGCATTTGTGGTCTACTGTCTACTCTTATCACAAGTGGATAACCTCGTACGTTTTTGTTCTTTTGAATTGGAAATGTTACTTAAAAGTGAACTCACTTGCAGCCCCCCCCCCCCCCCCAAAAAAAAAAACAAAAATTCACAATA